GGTGCAATAACAAATAACTCCCGTATTTCAGGAAAGTAAAACGGCAAGGTCGATTTCTCACTCATGCTATGTCATTGTGAGTCAGCTGGGAGTTGTGCTGTAAGTTGTCCTTAATCTGGGACCCAGACAGATGGAGCAGCCACCATCTGGAGAACTGTCAGGAGACAACCACAAGAACAACAACAAAAAGATTTCTTGAAGTTCTCATACTGAAGTTAAATGGTCCAGCCTAAAATAGCTTCCTCTTACAGCTATTTTCAAGGCCCCACATAGCCACAGGGAGCTAAGAAATGCCATTTTCCCAAATACCTGAAAAGCAGAGGACTGAAAAATCTGACACCACATTATCTTTTTCTTTTTGATGACTCCATACTCTTAATCCTGAGAATAAACCCTCTACTGAACCCCGCACTCACATGTCCAACTTCTAAATCCACACTGCAATTTGAAAGCTTAAGCGCATCTCAAACTCAGCATGTCCAAAGAGGAATACTTGATTCCCCATGCCTACAAGCATTTATCCTCCAGTTTCCATCTCAGCAAGTTAATTTCTAATTTGCTCAGGCGCCAAAAGTGGAGTTGGTTTTTACTCTCTCGTTTCTTTATTTTTTTTCGTGAGATGGAGTCTCGTTCTGTCATCTTGGCTGGATGGAGCACAGTGATGCTATCTCGGCTCACTGCAACTATTGCCTCCCAGGTTCAAGCAATTCTCCTGCCTCAGCCTCCCAGGTAGCTGGGACTACAGGCACACACCACCACCCAGCTAATAATTCTATTTTTAATAGAGACAGGGTTTCTCCATGTTGGCCTGGCTGGTCTCGAACTCCAGACTTCAGGTGATCCACCCAGCTTGATCTCCTAAACTTCTGGGATTACAGGCATGAGCCAGCATTGTCTCCCATTTCTTATAAATCACATATTCAATCTAATATCAAGTTACTTTATCTGAAACTTTACAGTATCCAAAACCAACAACATTTTACCATTTTCTACGAGCTATTTAGTCCAAACCACTACTTTGTTTTACTTGGACTGCTAAAATGGTCTCCTGTCTTTCTGGTTCTCCTAAAAATTATTATGCATACAGCAACTAAAATTATCCCTTAAAGTCATATACTTGATCATTTCATTCTTTATTTATATTACTCTAATGTCTTTCAGTCACATTTATATTAAATGTCAAACTCCTTATCACGGTCTTTCAGGTCCTCAATTATCCAATACCTACTAAAAATTTGTTCACCACCCAGTGGCAAGAATTATCCTTTTAAAAGGTACTGTTTATCATGAGACATCCCCTCACGATGCACTCAGATGACTTCCCATCCTGCTCAGATGAAATCCAAAGTTCTCACCATGGTGTTAAAATTTCCCTATAATCTTGTTCCTAGTGTTTTTTATGGCATCATTTTAACATTGTCTTCTTCATTAACCATAATGCATTTTATTAAGTTCTTTATTGCTTTTCAGACTTCCCATAAACTTTCTGATGTTAATGTCATCTCCTTTGCTGGAACTAACCTGGAGTATTCTTATTTTATTTATTTATTTATTTTATTTTTATAATTTTTTTTTTGAGATGGAGTCTCATTGTATTGCTCAGGCTGGAGTGCAGTGATGTGATCTCGGCTCACTGCAACCACTGTCTCCCAATTGAACCTCTGTTCAAGCGATTCTTTGGCCTCAGCCTCCTGAGTAGCTGAGATTACAGGCACATGCCACTGTGCTCAGCTAATTTTTGTATTTTTAGTAGGGACGAGGCTTTACCATGTTGGCCAGCTGGTCTTGAACTCCTGTCCTCAGGTGATCTGCCTACCTCAGCTTCACAAAGTGCTGGGATTACAGGTGTAAGCCACTGCGCCTGATGGTGGAATGCTCTTATTAATCATCTGTATGTCTTCCTCTTTCATTTCATTATGATTACTGCTGAAGTGTCTCCCTCAGACATGCCTTTTTTGACTGCTATCTAAAATAACATTTCTTCCCCTTTCCTCCATAATATTCCATTTTCTTACCCTGCTTCTTTTTATAAATGACAAGAACCACGTTTTTAAAGAAAGCTTGAAGGCAAAACAAGAGACCATGAAGTCAATACCAGAATAGCTCTCTTGCAAAGATGATGTGCAGGCCAAGGCAACTCCGCTATGGATGCTAATTCGCCAAATGACTTCTGATTCATTCCTGCTGCTCGAAGTCCTCTAAGATTTTCAGTTTATCTATTGCTTCTTGTGTCAGAGCAGGTACTTACTATAAATCCTGCCCTTAGTTCAAATTAACCTTGATATTATTGTCCTTCAGTTGTCCTACACATTCTTTCTGAGTCACCCTTCCCTATGTTACATAAGCCCTGGGTCTGATGGACAATGGATCCATTACCTTATCTCACCACTGCTTGAGACACAGACATGGCGTCTGTTCCTAAGACCCTATGATGAAATGTTTGAGTCTAAGAAATTGAATTTGTCAGCCCCTTTCTTGGGCCTCTCAGCTTCCTCAGACTTTGGGGGTAGGTTTGCATAGACCTGCTCACTGAGAAACAGATGAATATTAAATGTCCTTTTCCTCAAAAGGCAGAATATGCCCCATTCCTTGCTTTGATGCTTCGTTAAAACCTCTCTTCACCCACTGAGGCTGCCAAGCATTCTTCCGCTCGTGATTTGTGTCCTTCTTTTCTTTACTAAAGATCTTGCATAAAGAGCTGTCTTCCTTCATTGTCTCTATGATCTCCTTTTCATTCGACCTACTGATTATCCTACATGTTTGTTATACTCACAATTCTGCTAATATTGCCCTGGTAAAAGGCAATGCCTTTTGAATGAATAATTAAATGGAATTGCAAGTGTTGTAAAGTTCCTTCATAACAAACTCCTTTTGAAAAGGAGAGGGACTTTTTTTTCTAATCAAATATAAGAAAATAAGAGAATAAGTTTTAATCACAGCTGCAGTGGCTTCCTCACAGACTTAAACAGAACATTTCCAGAAAAAAAATCCAATTTGATTTGCATTCAAATTCCTTTTCCCTCAAGCCTATACTGCATATACTTCAGTTTGGATTAATGTGATCTCCTTTACATAAAAGGCTTCTTCTTTTACATAACACTTCAAAATTATCATGCTATTAATAACCTCAAAATATGTTGATGAGGATATGATGAGCACAAGAAACATTATATACAATTTGCAATAGATCTACATAGAGATTTCTGTAAATGAGACAGTGTGAACTTTGAAGACAACCATAAAAGCGGTGAGGCATCAAGGAGAGTACTTCAAAGTCTTGAAATTAAAGTTATCATCAGGTTCAGTAATTTCCAAGATTAGTTAACCATTCTGAATAATCACAGCATCACAGAATCAAATGGAAAAGATTTTGAACAACTTACAAGTAACGGGCTTAGGTCACACCCTAAAAGAGCTTAAATTCTTTCTTTTAGGCTGTTGACCAACAGGATTATTATCAAGTTGGGAGATTTGTTCAGGTGGCATTTATTGATTTATTTAAAAACATACTAATTATGGATCTGTCAGGTAGCAAGAATTAGGAAAACATTTAAAACACGTAAATTAAAACATAGTCTCCAACTTCACTGAATACACACACACACACATACTCACACACATAAGACATAATATGTTCATGAAGCACAATTACTAAAACTTCGGAATTTCTTAGAAAATATATAGTACCTGGTATCTATAAGCCAAGTGAGCACCTTATTTTAGCTGAGAAACTTAACAGCCAGAAATTTAAAAGTAAGTGATGATAATGGTAAAGCTAACATTACCACACCCCATAAGTGTCTTTGCAGAGCATTTTGACACACAAAAATTAGCTGATATAATTGAGAAAGTACTACATTATAAGCTAACCTAGATCAAAATTCTTCAAATAAAAACCTAACTTTTCATGCAATATCTCTTGTGGCTTTGAGTTTTCTTTGTCATTGCATTTTACTGCCTGTATACCTCTATTAAGTCATTCTACATAGTAACTAATAGCAAGGGCTTGGGAGCAAGATGATTTGAGGTTTTTGCCCCAGTTTTAGCATTTACTAACTGTTTGTCACGGGATAAATTACTTAGACACTATCTTGTTTCTTTTACTTTTGTATGTAGGAGATCACAATATTTGTCTCAAGATTTTTTTTTCAAAGAGTAAATTAATTGACAGCTTATAAAGCCCTCCAAAAATGCTTGACACCTAGTAAATATCTAGTAAATGTTAGCTATAATTATTACTTCAATTGTTTATAATTTCAAGCAGTTAAATACTATAAACCATCATTTGATATCTTATTAATTGCTACACGCTTAGAAAGATGCCTGGTGTGTAATAGCTAGTCAATAGATATCAAAGCACGTGATGATTTAAATGGTTTTACTTTGTATTTTATATTATTGTGCTTCCATATTACCAGTTCCAAACTTCAAATTACAAGCTATTCATCTAACCAAAGGTGTAAATTAGAGTCAAGTGCAGGAAATACAATCCCTGAAGTATAAAAATATAACACAGCAACTGAGATAGGAAGAGTAACCTAACAGCAGATCTAGCAGAAGGGTTTATTTTAGTTAGCTTTGAGTGGAAGATGTTTTTGGAAGAACTAAACGGAAGAGGCTGACTCAGAGAAGGAAAAAAGAATCACGTCTCGTTGCTCAGTAATCCAGGAAGAAGATGCTCAAGTAGGTTTAAAATATAATGCCTTTTAAGAACTTTGTAAGTTATTGTATGTACCTTTAATGGAAAAAAATATATAATTCACCAAGCATTTACTATGCTCCATACTTGGTGGTAAGTCAGAACTTTAACTTCTTTTCATGTAGGTCATATGTACTTTTTAGCTATTACCGTTTCAATGTTAAAAATAATAAAACTGAAGATTTAGAGAATTTAAGTAATTTACTTAACGTCAAACAGTAGAAATTAATGTAGTATTTGAATCTAGTGAATCTATACTTTTACTCATGATGACATTTACTTCCATTATTCAGGTACTCACCATTATTCCCTGGAGATTTTGCTCAAGTAGGTAAAATCAAATGTATTAGCTATGAATTCAGTCATGTGCCAAGGAGCTGTGGAATTAGAAGATGTTGAACAATATGTCAATTGCCTTTGAGGAGTCTACACTATAGTACAAAAGTAGGTGATCTGGACAAAGTTGTTTTACATAGGAAGAAAATAGAGTAAATCATAGACTTCTGCTTATTCTGGGTAGAAGAGATTTCACAGATGACTAGCATCTTCTTAGGAATTCTGATCAATTTACTCCTTCTTTATAAAACAGAGTGATCAGGTTAGAAGCTCTCCAAGATGTCTTTCAAATCTAAAACGCAACGATTGTATCTTAACATTTGCTGGTCATCTGTTCTTATATTCTGTCTTCTAAAGTCAAGAAGTAAGTTAAAGTTGAGAGTTGAAAGAACGCTACAGAAGGAAGGGAAACTGGATACCTGAATGGGCAGTTCACATAGTCATGAAGCCACATGGTTCCCCTAAAGAGTATTAGTATATACTTTATAATTATGTTGTGACAATGCTTAGAAACTTATAAAACTGAGGGAGCATATCATTGTGTTCCCTCCCTCTAGTGTGTGACAATCAGGCAGAAGAGAGTGCATACATTAAATCCATGAAGACATTGCCAAGCCTCAGCCTTGAAAATACTGTTACATGGAAACCTGATAACAATAAACATAAAAACAAAAAATAGAACCTTTAGGATAAATAATAAACATTCCTTTTTTTCTCTCCTTTGGTTTTCAACCTTTGCTCTGGAGGGAGACATTATTTTTATTATCATAAATAGTGAAGAGAATATTTAAATAAAAGGATAATAAGTACTACACAAATATTCTTGAAAAGATGGTTCAGAACAAAGGATATCAATGCCTCTCTATTGAGGAAGAACCACCTCTCAACAAATCCCAAACAAATCCTCTTAACATTCTTATTTCTATTTCTTTTCAAATACTCAAATACCATGAATAACTGAACAAACGTTTTCACTGATACTTTAGTTTTTCAGTTTTGAGATTATAGACACTAATGTCAAGCAGTGTCTGATCTATATGCTTCCCATCCTCATCCCCATGCCCAATATCAGAAAAGGTCGTCAAACAAATAAAGCAAAATTTTAGCAAACTTTCTTTTTGAGGTATTGATTCTCAGCTCTGCTCCCTTACCTCTCTTGCTCTGACTTGTAACTTGCTGCAGAGACACTGTTTTCTTGTCTAATATGCATCATAATAATATGTGCTGGGAAAGACTGATTTACAAATGAGAAGTATTATTTTCCAAGACAGATCTCACAGCTAGCAGGTATTAACAATAACTCTGATGTTGATAATTGCTATAGTTAAAAACAATTTATATGGAATGGACTCCCCAGAATTGCTAAAATATATCAGGAAAATATTATTCTGGAATTGAAATTTAAAGAGAACATTCAATAGGTCAGATTAACTTTTACATAAAAGAATTACCTAGGTGTGTGGTTTGTGTGTTACTTATAGGAGTAAGGTTTATCATAAACCTGATAAAAGCAATAGCAGTTTCTGTTCCAAGGAGAAGATTGTAACCAGTACAAAAGAAGTTCTATTTCAATCAGTTGTCTTGTGCCTAACTGAAATAATAGTATAAACTGGAGCAAACTTACAAAAATGGTAGAAAATCAGACAATGGCCGGGCGCGGTGGCTCAAGCCTGTAATCCTAGCACTTTGGGAGGCCGAGGCGGGCAGATCATGAGGTCAAGAGATCGAGACCATGGTGAAACCCTGTCTCTACTAAAAAATACAAAAATTAGCTGGGCGTGGTGGTGCATGCCTGTGGTCCCAGCCACTCGGGAGGCTGAGGAAGGAGAATTGCTTGAACCCAGGAAGTGGAGGTTGCAGTGAGCCGAGATTGCGCCACTGCACTCCAGCCTGGCGCCTGGCAACAGAGTGAGACTCTGTCTCAAAAAAAAAAGAAAATCAGACAATGATGTATTGTTTTCTCAGAGATGTCTGAAGAGATGTTTTTTACTTTCAAGGACTTGTGTTAATTCTGAAAAATTACTGTAACACTAGCACAATCAACTAATAGAGATAACTAATTTAATTGACATCTTCTCACTTATATCCTATGTTCACAAAGCACTATCTTGAATAATAACTTTATTTCTAGTAAAGTCATTCACCACAAGGAAATGACTTGATTAAACCACCAAGATTTGTTTTACTTATCAATCTCTTAGTTAACAAAAACATATTTCATTAGAAACTAATAAGTCAGCTTCTTATATTATAAGTTTGTTCATGGATGTGTGGTTGTTGCCTCTGAGCTTGAACCTAAACAAATGAAAGACAGTGTCTAGAGCCATGATGACCTTATCAAATACTGTATCTTCTTTATAAATTGTCCAGCTAGTCACTCTCTTTAGACGTCACCTCAGGAACAAGTACTTCCCTCTATAAATCCAGATTAAAAATATGGTAGAAACCCACATGACTCCAATATCCAACTTATTTACTGACATAATTACTGAAATGTCTTGTCAGACGACTAATTAAATATTTTTAAAAGAACTGTCTAAAATTATTGAAGATAGATGTTTACCATAATGATAATTGACAACCAAATAGACATCACAGGGTACCTCTTTGAGATCTGACTCAAAATACATGATCAGTGCTTAGCATTATAAGCCTCGATACGTTTATTCATCTCTCTCTCTCTCTCTCTCTCTTTCTCTCTCTCTCTCTCTCTCTCTCTCACACACACACACACACACACACACACACACACACACAAACATACACGAGGTCTGGTATCAGTTTGCAGTTATGTGCAATAAATACTTCACTTATGACTAAATATTCTGAGGAACAAATTGATAATATATATACTATTTTTGTGATCAAGAAAAGGTATGCTTTTAATTTAATCATCATTTTTACCATTTTAATATATATTTTAAAAATCATTATATGAGACATTCTTGAGCATTTTATGAACTTTAAATAACTAAAACACCTAGATAAGTTCATATTATTACTGATACAGTGACTATTTTTAGCCTCAGGCTAGAATTTTTCACCTCAATATAAGTCTATTACTGAGATTCAAATTCTGTTATGGAATGGTATAGACATCCAGTATTTTGGCTTCAGATCATAAGAATATCTTGACGTGAATACATTCCTGTATTTTATATAACAATTATTTACAAAGGTAATGTATTCCCCTATTTGGCTTTTTGGAACAATATAAAGTGAAAAAAAATTCCTAACTTAGAGAAATGTCCTCTTCTTCCTCTTTTTCCTACATTTTCTCTTGACCGAAGTCACATAGGTATCTGAATTTTGGAAACATAGTATTTTTTAAGGTTTTTTCTTGTCCTATCCAAGAACATTTCACTATTTCCTTCATTACATCAATGAAATGTTAACATAAATACTGTTCACTTGTGATTTTTAAAATTTCTCTCCATAAAGAAGGCCATTCATCTTCCCATGTACTTTTTAAATAGAACATGAACCAAAATTTCAAAATTCAGAAACTGATATTAATATAAATATATGCATATTAAGGAAATCTTACATTTGAGAGTATGGTTTTATCATAATTTGTTATTGTGCTTTCATAATGTTTCTAAAGAGTAAGACAGGGAACTGTCTATATTTCACAGGGGAAAAATACGTCCAAATAAGTGAAGAAGTTAATCAGCTCACTTAACAATTTGGTCAAAGAAATGGAATTAGAAAACTAGGCTCCAGCCTCTCAGTTCTCCAGTCTTTTTTACAGAGAGCAGTCAAATATTACACTTGGAGTCTATTTTTTTTCTTTTTATGTTTTCTTTGAGAAGGGGTTTTACAGTACTCTGTTGCCCAAGCTGGAGCGCAATGTCAAGATCATAGCCACTGCCGCCTCAAACTCCTGGGCTCAAGCAATCCTCTCGCCTCATACCCTGAGTTGCAGGGACTACAGGCAGGCGCAGCTGTGCCTGACTAATTGTTGTTGTTGTTCAGTTTTTGCAGAGTCTGGATCTACCTATGTTGACCAGACTAGTCTCTAACTCATGGCCTTAAGCTATCCTCCCACCTCATCTTCCCAAAGCGCTGGGATTACAAGTGTGAGCCACCAGGCACACCATTAAGTCTAGTTCTAATGTTCACATATTTGGTGAAAACTGAGTACTGATGAAATTATTTTGAAATTTGTCTAAAGGCTCTACAAAGTGTAGTATGGTATATTTGATTCTGTGCTAGAACTTTATACTGAAGCAACAAAGTTTAATAGATAAGAAATTTCAGAGTGAATTATGAGACTGGCTAGTTTATAAGACTGACAAAAAATTAAATAGAGAAATAAACAAAAATATAATATGATACTTCACAGAAGTATTGTATGGAAGTAATCATAGACTCCAGAATGGAAATTAGAAAATTCCAAGGAAGGCTTATTACGGGAGTGGGGAGAGGCTACACAGTGACTCTCAACACTCAAAATGGGGGAGGGTACTTGTTTAGTAAATAATCTTCGATGGGATTACTGAAATAATTTAATCTATACCTTCTGCAATATAAGGGACACAGGCAACTAATGTTTGTCTTATGTTGAGAAGTCTGAAGAGCCAGAGACAGGTAGGCCAACAACTAATTTACAAATCAGGAGAGAGGCATTTGCAATGGGCTTGGCATGCATTATCAGATTTTGTTTAGCCAGAATGTATATTAGTGTTTCCTTTGGACCAGAAGTGGACTACAAGCGATAGAGGATTAGCAAGGGAGTCACATTATGCTCTGCCCAGGAGAGGTGTCTATCCTCTACCAAAGTTAGATCCCTAGATTCCTAGTGGCTTCAGAATTATTAATGGAAAAAAGTGGAATTGTAAATGAGAGGTTCTCAGCAATAAGGAAAGGACATTCTGGATAACTCATGAGATTGGCCATAGACGGTTTTTCAGACCACCAATTTCATCAGATGTTAATTATAAGTTCATGAGAAAAAGTTACGTGATCCAATTACGTTGGAGAAAATAGTTACTAAATCTCCCTTTCTTGAATTTACAATGCATATTAGTATGTTAGACATTCTGAAAACTCTTGCAGTAAACATAATTTAATTTTGTTTAAACCCACTATTTACAAATGACTATTTGAATATGGGCACACACACACACACACACGTGCACACACACACACAACACCTCTTGGAGCACAGATTGAAAAACCTTCCTCAATATTATCTTCCACATCTCCAAATGCCAACACATTTGCAAAAGAAAAATCCTTTGAAAAGTATATAATAATGTATTAGTCACAAACTTACTGACTCCACTTCTGTAACACCTAAGTCTGAAATCTATGTGGACTTACCTCTAATAATTTTATTTATCACTCATATTATAGTCTGCTGATTAAGTGGCTCTTTTTTCGTGATCCCTCAGGGTCTGAGTTGTGTCTGCTTGTCCATCTTATATGTCCATCATTTCACACTTCTTTTCTTCAACCTCAAAGACAAGAGAGAGGAAAATAGAGACACCATAGCATTCTTATTTGCCTTAAGCCAGAAGTAGCACATCACTTCACTACCTCCCACATTCCCATTGGCAAGAACTCATGGTTCCAAACAACAAAGGAGGCAATGTAATATTTCTTCATGCTCCAGAAAAAAAAATTTGCGTTGGAAAAATACCATTTTTTTGTGGGACATATCATATGTATTCCCATAACAACAGAAAAAATAAAAGAGGTAATAGGAAGGGGGTTCTCATATTTGCATACTAGTTCTCCATTCCTGCTTCCAGTATTTTTATTCTTTCAGTGTCTACTGTGTGATAGACAGCAACCTAAGCATCAGGAGTGCATTAGTAAGATGAAATCTTGCCCTCATAAATTTAAAAAACTGTCCATGAATAACAAAATAATATTTTCCTGAATACATATTATTTTCATCTGAAAAGCAGTGTTTGAGGATAGCTATTAAATATCAGTCATTGTGGTCAAAATATAGCATCTTTATTTTGTTTTAGATCAGAGACCTAAAAGAAAGACTGTTAGAATTTAAATGAATATGTAATAAATGGCTAAATTTATCTTTAAAATCCCCTATTACACTTCACAGTATGTTTTCTTTTCTGAAAAGTTTCAAAGAAACAGGAAAATCACAGTGTTATGACAAAGAAACATACAGGCATGATTTACATTTTTAATCATTTTACAACATTTATTTTATTTTATAGAAATAATACTCCGTGGACATGCCAAAAATGATAAGTTGGTTTATATGTGTTCTGTCATTTCAAATATTTCTTATACATTTATTTGTGTTCACAGAGAGTAGGTATTTTTTGTGAATTTTTAAAATATGCATAAATTATGTAGCCTATAAAGGCAGGAATTATTGTATTTATGGTATATAACATAGGAGCAAAAGAATTTCTAAATGTCAGCACAATGAACATTTTAGGTCAGATAATTCTTTGCTATTCTGTGTTTGGGGGTCTATCTTACGCATTTTGAAAGTTTTAGGATCACTGTTCGCCTTCCCCCATTAGATTTTAATAGCGTATCCCTCTTCTCAAGTTATATGCCTCATGGAGAAAATTGCCCCTGTTTGAGAACCACTGGACTAAATTATCAATTTTTAAAAGTGTGGCACTAAAAATAGTCTCTTCAAGTATATTCTTCAAGTGCCTATTACTACAGTGAATCTATGAGCATACAAGATCTTAGAATTAAAAGGGACATAGTAATCTAGAAGGGTGTTGTACAGAACCAAATGCAGAATATACAGCCTCTCCTCTCCAGGATGCATACATGTGCATGTATATGTGTCTATTGGGGGGGGGGGTGTGTATGAAGTGACTGATGTGAAATATTATATTCATGAAAACATTTAGTGTTCATCTTCCAGAAATTAGAACAGAATGGACTGGGTGTAGTCTAGCCACTCAGAAACCTTGTATGTAACTACCAAGCATATTTTACCAGTTGCCAAAGGGATCACATACTGGCTTTAAAGAGTACAAATTCTATTCCAGAATTTGAAAAGAAACTAAGCAGCAATTGAGTACTCAATCCAAGGGCCAGATCACTGCCTACTGTTTCCTCTTGGAGTGTTTCCAGGTAATATTTGCACATTTTAACGATTTTGGATTTGACTAGGTTAAATAATTAGAGGCTGGAGCCAACAATGCAAAAATATTTTCCCAAAATGAACAATGTAAGCCTGTCATCTATAAGAAAGAATGTTCACAGTTACGGCATGCATCCTCCTTAGTTGTTACATAATAGGCTTATTCTTTGAATTGTGCTAAAGATTCAATGCCGCAGCTTCACATGCATAGTATCAGACACCAGGGATTCCTTGTGCCTTCTCAACACGCCTAAGATAATGAAAGTTTACGAAAGAAGATAAGATGTCTCTATTGTGCTATTTTTTCACTTGCCATTTTTCCCTGACAAGAGTAAACAGAACACTAAATGAATTGCAGCTATTAATTTCTTTATGAAGGAATAACACTGTAATAAGACCTGCCTTGCTTTATCATCTGAGATTCCTATTTTTCTGAGATATTCATATGCATGCAATCAAAATCCCTCATTTGGAAATGCTCATAAAAGAAGTATCAAATCCTTCTCTACATCAAGAATGAAATATGTAAAACCAGCCTGGCTCTTTCTCTTTTCCCCCCTTCTTATACACTGATTTAAACATTATTTTTCAGGTATCTACATATACCTTTAAAATTCTGTGCAACTATTCCAGTGTTGAAAATAAATGAAATGATCATTCTTGTTGTTGTTTTTTTTAATAGTAAAAGAACCTTTAGACCAAATGTGATGCATTATATTGACATAACAAATGTGGACATTAATTAAAGAGCAGCAGAATCCAGCAGAGAAGTTTGCCCTCCATCTGCTTGACCTGAGGTAATAACAATGTTCCATTAACCCAAACTGACAGATTTTCTAGGGTTTGTCTTCATCTCTAAAGTTGCTGCGCCTGGTATGAATAACCATATGTGTGACATCATCCATAACGTGCCATGTGGAATAAAATTAACTGCGTACACATCCTATTTTGTCTTTGCTTTTTATTCTTTCTTGTGAGCTCTGTGTTCTTTGTAGCCCTTTACTCTTTTCCTAGCTCACTGTCCAGGACATTTTCCTGTACAAATTACATAGGCCCGAGATGGCATCTCAGGTTCTGATCACTCATATTTGCCAAAAGAAAATTAGATAAAGACACATGACATTCACGCTGAGAAAAGAGTCAACCCAGAAAAAGTGAAGTATGGCATAGTAATCATTAGGGTTATTATTCAAGTCAAATATAAAAGCAGAAGTATGTTAAACACATCATGTATTTTGTAAAAAAAAAAAAAAAAAAGAAAAGAACTTACAGAATTTTCTAAATAATAAATTAGTGGGATGGGGGATCTTGTCCCAGAACTGAAACTTAAATCTTTGAATCTGTTCATATCTAGTATGTATTAGTTAACCAAGGGAACTGTTTTCCTCTTCCATCTCATTATAGATCAAACATCAAAAGCTTTCCACTAGAAGCAGGCACCCAGGAGGCATCTTGCTTTGTCACAATACAGTATTCACAGCCACCCTGATAGGAGTGCTAACTCTCTTGGTAGCCTTAAAGAACAACAGTGCAGTTATTTGTTGTGCTTCTTCCTCTCCTCCCCTGGAATTGTTGCTTCACTGTAATAAGTAACATTCCTTCCAATTATCCAAGCTCCTCAAGTCCGCAGAGCTGACCCCCATGACTTTAGAAAAGACTCACTGTTTAGAGTCATTAATCCAAGATTATAAACATGGAGGGAGATTCATGAGAAAGGGATGAACTCATGGTTCCTGAAGAAAGACAATGGCATGCATTGTTTTCCCAGAGACTTTGTGTGTGTATGTGTGTACCTTTATTTTAAATCCTTCCTTTTTCCTGCAAGAATTTGTCCCCCTGTCTTTTCAACTGCCATTATCCTCTAGTTTCTTCTTCACTGGGGTGAGCAGCAACACCTATTGCGACTGGTGTGTCAGAATGGCTTAGCTTTTCTCTGAGTCCTTGCCTGGACAGCAGAATCCAGGCGGCAACATTCTGATGGAGGAGTGTAAAAGATGGGCAGATCAGATGTGCAACTAGCCAAAGCAAGAATTTAATTGCAAATCGATTACCTCTCCTGTAAGCCCATTTAATATTTGTTTTTAAATTTTGAAAATGATAATAATGTACCCTTCATGACTCTGTGTAAGTCAGAACCGCTGAGATATATGTACATGAATTTAAGGCATCACACTTTGCTTCTAGAGATCATCTTCAAGGGTTTGATGTTCCCTGATCTTTGTATCTTCTTGAGTTCTACAAAGGCTTTTTAAAAAAATTTCTGGAGGAAAGGAAGAAATTGCATAAGATAGACACTTATAGTCTCTACTGTTCTATTTATAAGCTAATGTGGTAATCAGGAATGGAATCTTAAACTCTTTTTTTTTGTGAACGTGATATGTATGTAAGTCTTTCATCTTTACCAGAAATCATATTAAGTCTTTTGAGATCTTTTTGAAAGCCAAAGAGAAAGTATTCTGAATCTGCATGATTTTAATACTATATTACATAGGAAATTAAAACATTCATTTTGTTGCTGGAATTGGTCATAGAACAGACAGCATTCTTTCCCCTTGTTCTGGAGCTCCAATGTCAGTATGAGCTAAAATAGTCTTCCATCTATCCCCAATCTCTGCTGCTTTTGCTGCCTCCTTATAAAGATTATACTTATGCTTAGCAAATGAAGAAAGGAATTAGTGATGCTCTCTCATTTCCTGTCTTCCCACAGATGGCGATAAATTCAAATTCAGACTCCATTAAACCTGAGTAGAGCAACCCAGCAGGTGGCTGTACTAATGGAAAATCCTGGCTTTGGAATAATGGGAATTATAACCGACAGCTCTTCTACACCACAAAAAAGATGATGTATTCTTATTGACAGTGTCGCATTTGAGTCCAGAAGGCTGATCTGATAGTTCAGTTCTGGCACAACGGAAACTAAAAGCCCCCTGGGTGTTTTCTTGGCCACACCACTGTAATTTTTGTCATCTGAACTTTCTATTACAATTCATTTTACAAATCTCATATAAGTTGAAAAGAACAAGAGGAATGAAAGGGAGGGGAAAGAAAGACTGGCATTTATTTTGCCTACAGGCATACTTTTATTCTCTTTTCTTGGTTTAAAGGACAAATAAAGGTTGACACACAACAGTATTTCTAGCCAATTCAGTATTTTTAATGCTGACATACTGGGCCCAAGTTCTTTTAGTGATCCTAGACAAGCTCATTGAAGAGAGTTTCTGTTTAAAAGATGTATAGATTGCCCCGGAGGTGTAATGCCTGATGTTCCACTAGAATTCTTGCAGGAATCCTACATTTGCATGTATTTTTTTTTTCATTCTTTTCTCTTAGCTCCACCTTCCTTTTTAAACTCCAACATGTTATTTACAAAAATATGATTTGGTCACACTGATCTAAAATGGCATCTGGATGTTCAAATATTTAGAACCTC